CTAAATTTTGTATCATTTTCTAAGAAAGTAAAACAATTACAAAATATTAGAAGTTATATACGACAAGACAATAAAAAGACGAAATAGAAACATTATAATTAGGAATTCAATTTAAAAAATGTTTACTTTTTCATATAATATATACATTATATAACGTATATTTTACTCGCTTTATTATATGTTCTTCATATTCATTTTCGTTGTCTATCCATATAGATTGTTCATCATTTAGAGATATTCATCAAGTTCCTCAATATGTTCAAAGTTCAAATAACTACAAAAATTTCAAAAATTAAAACAATTGAAACGATACGAAAAATCGATAAGGATGAATTTAATATGCTTGCAACACTAACTTAAATGTAATTTCGAAATAAGAATTTTTTATGGGGACAAGGCTAATCGGTTTTAAATTTGATTATCGATTTATTAAACAGAAAAATTTAGCTATGAACTACTCCGGCTTTGAACTACTACGTTGAAGGTTCGTTAATAACGACAAATAATTCGTGATATATCAGTTGCCTTTTTATATACATAAATATAAGAAAAAGAATAGTAAATACTTAAAATCCTAAAAGCCGAATGCTATCTATTATATTGTTTTCTAAATGTAATTGTTTTACATATATTATTTATGCACATATGTTTAATATACACTTACACATGCATGCATAAACGCACATACACTTATTTATATATTAGTTTATATTTATAACTTGTTTGTAATTGTCTTAATAATTTAAGTAAATATGTAGAAGGATAAAACTTACGTAGGATAAAATATACAATTATCGTCAAAATTAAAAACACATTGAAAAGTTCTGCGGCGGTAAAGCCAGATTTGAAATAGGAAACTTCATCTTCTGTAATATATACTTGAGCTTGTCTCAAAAAATAAATGTTCACTAATATAACATACAAAAGATGATTAAATGATTATAAAAAAGTAACTTTAGTAATTTAATGTATCTATATCTTACGAGCAGATCATAATAACGTCATAAGCGAGAAAACGTATAATTAAAATTTTTGTTAGATACATTAAAATAATAATATTTTTTAAATAAAATATTTACAATTAATAGAATATGCTCGTAAAATATAAAATATAAATAGAAATTTCATTTTTATTTCATTATATATCAACATGTGTATATCTATAACTGATTTTAAATTAGATTTCAGTAATGAAAATGTATCATTTTTAATAATATTTTAATTTAATTGTTAAGTTAAATACAAATATAAGGCTATTTAACATATATTGGGATGCAATATAATTAAACAGAGATACTTTGAATTTTAGAATAGTTACATAATTTATATTTTTTTCGGAATTCTTTAATATAAATTTATCATAGTTTGCCATATTTTGTTAATAATTTATTATATAAACTTTTTTTTATTAAAATGGGAAGTGCAATATTTTTTATATTATATCTTTATGATTATATTTTATATCATTTTTGTGTAATATATATCTATATTTTATTTATGATTTTTGTTATAACTTATACAAAATGTTTATTTTCTTTGTACTGTAATATAAAACATACCGATCGCTCCGATTCCCATAATTATCATCACTACAGCCTTCAGAATTTGTAAAAGTAAAGTCATTTCGTATTTTTTCTCCTAGGAAACTTAACTAAATAAATTGTATTTATTCTGATTTACCAAGCTACGATCAGTGTGATAATATCTGAAAAGAATGATTATTTATATATAAATCGAAAAATAAAAATATTTATTCAATAATCTTTTTTTACACGAAATGACAAATAAGTTCTAAAGAAAATCACCAATACACTTAAATTAAACTTAAATTAAAAATTAAATTAAATTTATTAAAATATTTATTAGATTTACAAGATTAAAAAGAAGGACAAAACCGAAAATAAATAGAGAAAATAAAATACGATTAGAAAATAAAATACGATTTGTCTAATTAATTGAGATATTATAAATTACTTATTAATTAATTAAAAACTACTATGGCATAACACATCAAGGTTTACTTTAAAATGATACTTCAGAATTACTAAAATTAACATAATAATAATTTAAGGCATATAATCATTATTAGTTTTTCATGATTATTGGTTTTACATAACAACTAAGACACATTTTATGTATTAAAATTAATATTCAGTAATGACAGAAAAAATATTATATAAAAATATGCACATAAAAATATATGCAATATTATAAAGAATATAATTAATCATAATCGTTATATTTTAGACTTGATAATTAAATACTTATTAATACTAATTTCATTTACCTTACTAAGTCGACTAGTTGTTCCTCTCTGCGTGTTTTGTATATGACAGACAATATATGAGTAATAATTTGATTCTATCTGACGTCAATCAAGACAAAGAGATAAAAAGATGAATCTTATTTCTAATTGGTCAAAAAAGATAAACGTTATTAGTTGAGCCTGACACGAACTATCCAATCTTTTATTTTGTCTAAAAGGCAATTTGTAAACAATAAGTTCCAGTCGTTTATATAATAACGATTGCAAGAGAAAAAGAAATATAATAAATCAATATGTGTGTTAAAATCATATTTTGAAGACATCGTGCTCCGTGCGACATAGTTGCATAAAAAATGTTATTAAGCATTGAATAAATTTTATAATAAATAAATAAATCTAATTTAAATAAATTTGATAATCATTTTGTGTTTCAAACAGAATATTGAAGATTTAATTTTAGAATAAAAGATTTAATTTTGTTGTATATATGAGCTTTGTGTATGTAATTGACTTTTAATAAATCAAAAATTTTTTAGAATATATCTTAAATTTAATGTTGATAGATTTTCGGATTTATTAAATTCTGATATTGTTGTACACTTAAAAATCACTCATTTTATAGCGGTAAGGAAGTAATATCGTGGAGCGCGTTGTCTTGCATGTTACTTTGTAAGTTGTCATCACGTATAGATTAATGAATTATTTTCATTAGTAATAGACATAAAAAAATTCTGTTTTTATCTTTTTATAAAGCATAGAAAAATATAGCTTATTAATGAAGATAATTTGAACACAATTATTAATTGTATATATAATTGAAATGAATTGCAAGAGTCTATTATATCGGAATAAAAGAAATAATTTTGAAATGAATTTGATATGAAAGCAACTGTTATTATGAATATATAAAATGTATATATACATATACATATATTTGTATATAAAATTATTTGTTGTATATAAATTGTATATAAAATTATTTACATTTTCATACACCTTCAATAATTATCAGTCATAAATGAGTAAGATAAACCAAAGGAAATATGAAATAAAATATGTTTATATAATTTCTAACTTTATTGTGATAATTATTATGTATAATACATATGAGAAACATTGAAATTGTCAAAATGCATTATTTTAGCGATGATACTTATTCATGAACTAAATGTAACAAAGGAATCAATTTTATATTCTAAATTTCTCTATGCATAATTATAATAAAATTCTCTAATTAATAAACGCTTCAATGATTAATGAATTACATTTTATATAAATTTTAAACAATGGTTCACAATAAATATGATTTATTAATATTAAATTTTATTTTTTAAGTTATTATTTTTTGAAAAGTTTATTAACTTTAAAAGATTATTTATACTATATATTATACTATATATTATACTATATATAATATATGTGTATATGTACATGTATGTATATACACATATATAGATATATATACTATATACATATATAGATTATAATATGTCAGAATCTAAAATTTATATTAAATTATGAAAAATTATATAATTGTGAATATATGAAACCACTCATTTTTTTATGGCATATTAGTGAAGAGATAAGAAATGCGTTGCTTTTCAAGTTGTCAGATTAATAAGTCATCGTCATTGGTAATGAAAAGAAATTCTTTTGTCGTCTTTCTGTAAAATATATAAAAAATAATTTATTAATAATAGAGATAATTTTAACGCAATTATTAATTGTGTATATAATACGGAAAAAGTAATAAAGTTATATCACAAATACATGAAAGGATTTT